GGCACTGGCGAAGGCGACCCCCATCCCCGCAGAGGCCTCCCCCTGCCTCGATGGGCGGCCAGGGCTAAAAGGAAGAAGACTGGGGAAAATGAGGAGAAAGAGGGAAGCCAAAGAGAGGGGCCAAGGAGGGAGGAGGTGGGGACGGAAGAAAAGAGGAGACAGAGGCGGAGGGGAGGCTGACCCAGCCGCCGAGCTCAGCGAAGGAGACTGGAGGAGGTGTGCAGAGCCCAATGCAGGGCTCTCACGGGGACGCGGAGGGATGGGGGGCGGGAGGGGGGAGACTCTGAAAACTGGAAAGAAAGAGGAAGAGAGGAAAGAGAGAGGGGGGAGGGAGGGAGAGAGAGGGCAGGAGTCAGGGAGAAAGAGGGAGGGAAGAGACAGAGAAGACAGAGGAGGGAGACAGGGAGATAGATGAAACAGAGGGAGGGAGAGAAAGAAGAGAGATGAGAAGGAAGGAAAAGACAGAGAAAACAGAAAAGGGAAGGGAGGGAGGGAGAGAGGAAGATAAAGAAAAAAGAGAAAGAAAGAGGGAGAGAAAGAAAGAGAGAAGGACAGGAGGAGAGAGACAGAGAATGGAGGAAGAGAGGAGACAGAGATGGCGGGGAGGCTGTCACCCCGGCCTGCCTGCGGTGCTGGGTTGGTCACTGGCCCAACACTGTAGCTGACAACTAGATAAAGCATTTCTGTGAATTGGAAAAGCACCCAACTGTTGCTAAGACCACAGAGGTGGGGGTCAGGGAGGAGGGTTAGGGTTAGGGGACAGTGAGGGGGACAGGCCCTGTGCATCGTTTCCCAAGGGACCTGTTGACCTGGGAATTTAGACTTTCATGTGGGTGGTTCCCGACCCTGGGCCCTCACAGGGGGCTGCAGAGCCCCCCCCCCATGTCTCTACTCAGCTGGGGGACTGCCCCACACAGATAGCCATCGGGGACCCTCAAGTCTTGCCCTGACCTCTGGCTGGCAGAACCGCGGGGAATGCAAGGGAATAAGGGACCATGAGCCAGAGCCATGGTCAGGGAGGGATGGCTGAGGGCCTGGCTGCTCTGAGTTGGAGCCACTGGGCACCGGGAGTGAGCCCCTGGCACTGCAGCTCAGAGCTGGGGGCAGAGGGGGCGCAGGAGGGAACTGGAAGGGGCATCGGCTGGGCTCTGGCCACCTTCCACACAGGACAAGTGTCCTTCCCTGGGTCCCATCAGCATCAGTCAGGAGCTGCTGAGCCACGAGGGCCAAGTCCTGGCACCTGGACAGACGTGACCCCAGTACAGGGCAAAGCACAGGTGGGAGGACCTTTGTCCTGAGGGGGGGTAAAGTCATCAGTTTTGTGGAGGGGGCCTGCCAGTCCTCCTGGTCACTAGCATCTGGCTTTTCTCAGGGACAGGGAAGGGGCAGGGCGGAGGTGTTAGCGCTAGCCATCAGGAAGGACCCGAGGCTTGGGATGTCAAGGAAGAGAAGATAAAAGGCCC